TTATGAAGTTAGAAACGTATACAAAAACAAATCATTATTAAAGGTATAGATTTTTAGCTCATTAATTTAATTTTCGTATTTGGGGCATCTGGCATCAGGCTGACTAAGCTAGGCTACTATAATATCTTTATAAGCCACTGTGATGTACTGTATGTAATATGCTTTGCAGTAAATCATTTTTTTTGTTACAACTTTTTAAGGATTGAGAAAAATTATTGTACCCATGTCTATTAATTGGCTTAATCCAGGCTTCCAGCTCCCGAATAAATTAAACCAAAGAATCATCCGACTATGGGCATAACGCGACTATTTTACCAAGAAAGTTTTACTGCATTTAATACAAACTTAATAATATATTATACCTACACACAATACCTACTGTATAGTAAACTATAAAATAAAGTTTTTACCTGTATAGATGATGAATTGTTTTGTAAAATGTTGTATTTTAATATTTATAGATGTTGTGCTGCGGAGCGATTTACCTTAAAGCGCATATGAAAAAGAGTGACGTGTTTCGGCGGCGGACCGTTTTGTCACGGATAATGACGACCACGACGAAGCTCGCAAATCCTCGATAATATACGAAAGTTGTCGTTTCGTTGGAATATTATATCATCGTCACACAGCGCACGAATATAACATTTTCACTTCACAATGGAAAATAATACGAAATCGCGAAAATGAGATTCGATCGAGGAACGGACCGCGGACTGAGCGAGCGGCGGCAAAAAGACTGGCCGACGGAAAATTCCGTTAATAACCTTTCAGTCGTAAAGGTAAAGAATTTCGTTCTAGTTACCATGGTTGAAACTTGAAATGTACAAGTTATTGCATATTTAGATTCGGATTGTTATCATCAGATACAAAATGGCTGTCTATTGGGCACATCACAAATATCAATTTTTCTTATCATCAAAATACGCTAGCAAAAGCTAACAAGTTCAAAATTCCCTCGCTTTTATAGGTAAACTGGACTATTACTTATTAGGCTTCCTCTACGCTGCTATTTTTGTTTTTATCATCAAATACTTGATTGAGAAGGAGCAATAACGTTGTATATTTTAACCATGGTAAGTACCTATATAATTCCACATTGTTTTTTTCATTTATTTAACCCAAGGCAACATGGGCCATTTACTATTTAGTAGTGGTTGTTAGCCTATTTCCTGCTGTAGGGGGGATACGCGGTTGGTTCGGAACACGAGTATGTGAGGCGAGGATTCGTCACCAAAATCCCGGGCGGTCACCCATCCAGGAACTAGTAATGATTGCCGATTCTTGACCTCAAGTCAGTGATTGCGGCCAACCACCAGGCCCAATATTTCACACTGTTATATTATTGTGATTCTGCGATAGGTTACGGGTTTCCCACCCGCCGAATTACAATAATTATGTGGGTAGTGGGTACGTACATGAAAAATGGTCTTTTACATAGTATATTTTTATCGAGTTCAATCTTCCTTCTCCAAGAAATTTGTTTGCAGACGCCCTTCTACTTTACAGACGTTGTTTTTTAAACGGTAGTTGATCGACAATAAATTTTTCTACCACGATGTATTCACGTGAAGTGCCTCGTAGTATTTGGTTCGCGTTGCCACTTGCCTGGAATCCGAGCGAAATTGTTTCCTGTGTGTTCACGTCGTCCTCCAGCGCAATATGCCAATATGGTTGTTTTTTTCGCTACCTACCTACTTGTTATTTTTATTTAGTACTTACTTGAAAGATTAATGTACAATAATAAAACGTAAAAATTTGTTATATATGTAGCAATGAACAACGTGTAGGTATACGAATTATTACGAAATATTATTATGATGTAAATTCCTAGTATTATTTTCGTTTATAAATAAACAAAATAATTGCGAAAATGATACATGTATATTGTATAATATACTAATATTAATGACTATACTACTGTATATTATAAGAATAATGTATATGTACAATAACTATAGAGCTATAAAACATAAGCAATCGTCGCTGCGTCGTAGTCGTGACTACCGACGATTTCCCGAGAAAAAATAACCATTACTTTGCTAAAAATAAATGAAAATAAAATCCGAATACACCGTTCAGAAATAGACGTTCCACTGAATAATCACATTTGAAAATCGAACAGTGTATCTAAAACCGTTTAAGTAATAGACCCCTAAAGATACACATAACATATGTCCACTACATGGGGACCGTGTCACAGTTGTCGACTACGTGTCGACTATGGCATCTAAGATCTAACGTGATTATTTCGTTAGTTTTAGTTTTTAGTCAAAACTTAAAGTTATACCTTCTTAGACGGACACGTGTTCAAAGATAAGAATATTAGATATAAAAAGAGAAGAGGTAAGATTCTATTGTTATAAATGTATAATATAAACATAATATAAAGCCTTCTAACCCCCTTACAATAATTGAATAATTATATAGACTATAGAGACATAGAGTTATATCGCTGACCGTTGTAGTTGCTGTTGATTGTTGATACCTCAAACGAAATTATAATATAAAAATAAAAACAGAGTGATACGCCCACAATGCTATCATTTATTTACATTTTTGTAGGGTTCTTTTCCATTAACGTTATGAACAGAAAAAAAGTTTTATATATATTTAATATAGGTAACAATAAAAATAATAATAATAATAATAATAATAATAATAAAACAACAATATTATAGTATATTCATAAAAGTAAGAAGTTTCGAATGAAAACGTTTTGTACCTACCCATTATTGTTATTATTATTACTATTGTTGTTATTATTTTTTTTTCCGAAGCGCCCGACTGCAGCCAAGCTTTTTAGTCCGAACCACCAGGACCAGACCTACCCACAGAACCCTTGCCGGTTTCACAGACGCGGGCAGCATTTCTTTGATTGTGGTCTTAAGCCACACCTGATTTTCAAACTCATCCTCTTGCTGCTCCTGATCCTGCATTCCTACTCTTTCGGTGGCTGCATGTCATAGGTTTTTTTATAGCTTATAATAATATGAGACTATAACTAATATGTACAACTAATATGGCTATATACCGACACATGGTTAATAATTATAATCTGCAAGCACATATTCAGGATCAATTTTCGAAGAGGGGTAAATGTATACACTATAATTTCAATTAAAAAAAATGGTGAAATACAATTTTAAATTTTAAATCATAAAGCAAAGTCAACCTTGCGTGGCACTCTGGAAAATGAACTGATTATTTCTACAATATATTTATTGGGATACTTTTGTGGACTGATTGAATTTTTTATGTAAATGGTTGATCCTGGTTACCTAAAATAAAATTATGAATATAATATTATGATATTGACCGGATATCATTTTAACCTGTTTTTTATATTTGGTCTCTGTATTAAAATCATATCTGCATATATTTTGTTAATTTCAACTAACAATAATCGGTTACCCGTAGGGCCGTATGCAAAAAAAGTTATTTATTACTATTCCCCGTTTAAAATATTTAATTTTTCATTTTTGGGCACAATTACTCCGAATCTTAAATAACGAATTAAATAAAGTTTTTTTTTGGTTCATAAATTTTTTATTCGATCTGTTACATAAAAAAAGAACAATAAGAACAAAGGATGGTAAATAATATGAGATAAAATAAATAAAAATAAAAATAAAAATAAAAATAAAAAGGATGATTAGACAGACTGCAGAAGCCTCCTAGCGGAGGCACTCGTACTACGACGTAGTAAGAATTTTGTTAGCCTAACAGGTCACGACACCACTGTCTTTTGAGTCATTTAATCGGGTTGTCCGGGACAGAAGTGGATGATAGATAAAACAAAGTTTTAATCATATAAAAGTCGGAATTTTTTACGGAAACAAAGTGTTTATCATATATTATGTATTTCTTTAATTGTGCTTTTTGAGTTTTGGGTCGTGCACGTGGTTGACCCATTGAATATTGATAAGGAATAAAAATATTACATTTTACGAGTTGACCGAACATCTCAAATAGTACACTACAGTGCCATCTAGTTACGAAAGCCGTGGGTAGTAAGTTCTTTATACAAGCTTTGAACAAATTGAAAAAGGTCCAAGATAGGAGATGGTACTACCGTTAAAATTTAAGTTCAGTCTTTAGAAATTTTAGGGTATTACTATTTTCGGTACATTCCCATCCCCCTAATCTTAACATTGACTGGTGCCTGCTAGTAATTATTATTTTTAATTTTTGTAACTTTAAATTTATTGTAAATTGTTATTATTATTTTTTTATTTTATTTTAGAACTTTTAGCAATAACTATTACAGTTCAACAATTAATTAAAATTGTTATTATTATTAATATTAATATGTTTTGATACCTTATATATCTTTTCTGTATCACATTTACTCATTGTGCCTAAGGTATAGATTGTAAATTTCTTTTAAAAATATAAAAAAAAAATTTTTGTTACTGATATATTTTAATAAAAAATAAGTGTCAATAATTTTATGTCCAGGCGTCCAGCTTAAAAACCTAAACGCAACAACTATTACTACTTAAAACCAAACCTGAATGACAGTCTGTTAAACATATCATGAATTATTATGTCTGCTATTTAATTATTTTATTTTCATATATTTACAATATTATAAATTCATTAAAAAATAATTAATTTTAATTTTAATTTTACAGTAGATTTGTAAGACACGATATATTTTTTGTCTATGATATTCAGCTTGGATCACCTACGTGGGCAATGTGCATGATGAGGTTGTGTCTAAGCCATGATTATAAATAACTTTAGTACTTTAGTCATATAAAGTTCTATAAAATCGTAGTCACGGATGTCAGTCTTAAGTTTTGTCCGTGATCGTGGTTTATTCAGTCCACGAATTAAAATGTCTTCGTCATTATTCGTGAATTCGTGATTCAGGCCAAGCAGGCAGCTGATATTTACAAGTTACAACGGAGCCATGAACCAAGTATATGATTATGATACCATACTCGTTATCAACGTTTTAGTATTATAATTGATAACTCAATGATAATTTAATCTACTCTGTCTCTGTGGTAAATATATTATCGTATAATGTATTTATATTTAATACTTTAATATTATGTTTTTTTAAAAAATTTTTTATAATAATTAATAACTTTACTGTTTAAGAACACATTCGGGCCTTAGAAATCCATTTAAATATTTTGTTTCACGTATAGATCAACACAATATCTTTTGAACAATGAGCCCCAATATCGAAGTTGAAAATTTAGTGGAAAAATCAAGGTGAGCAATTATTGTTGTGTTCTGATTTCTAGTTTTTAGTTGGTTTCTTTTAGTTTTTTACTCTTGAGTATTTATCATAGCAAATTACATAAAAAAATCTGTCGAGAGCTCGATATATTTTGTAGGATATTTTGTTTGTAAGGCTAAATGTATACTAATGTCACATATCCTCATTATATAAATATGTCAATTATTTCAGTTCAATGTATTAACCTTTTATTATTAGTGAAGACTGTAAGGATATTTTAACTATTACACTGAAAAGGTTTTAGAAATGATTACCAATACCTTTATAAACTGCTATGTATTTTTTATAATGAATAATTTGAAAAATATAATGGTTTTAACTTTTAGGTTTCCAAAGACTGTAAATGAAACACTAGGACTAATTGCTTATTTTCCATTTGGAGTCATCCTAGTGGTTTTAAGAGTTTTTATTGCAATACATGCAATACTTTTAACAGTGATATTGAGCAATTACCCAAATATCCGCAGGTATATTACATTTATAAATTTACTGTTCATTAATATGATTTTTTTATAATGACTATGATTTATGTTCATAGACCACTTCTAAAAATTATGTCAGGTGTTCTTGGATTAATTGTGGTTGAAAAAGAAAACTCTTCAATTAAGAACAGCAGAGTGTTGGTTTCAAATTATTTGTCATTATTTGATCATATTGCGTTGCATTTGGCCACAGGAAGTTTTACTGTATGTACAGAACTATCAATTATAAATCATCATAGTTTTTAAATTTGTATTTCAAATTTTCAGCCAACTACTGTATTCAGTAGACCTGTGGCATTGTATTTTGGGCTGATTTCTACATTGACTAACGATAATCTTACAACAGAGAGCACTGTATTAAAACAGTTTTTAGCTAATGATAATAAAAAATCATTGCTCTTATTTCCAGAAGGAGCTTCTACTAATGGAAAATGTGCTTTACTTAGGTAAGTATCAACATGTTTAGTTATTTAATTTTAGATAATTACTGTAATAATTGTTTTTGTCTATCAATAAACTAGATTTTCTAATGTACCAGCTTTAATAAGCGACAATTTACAACCAGTAGCTTTAACAATTACTCGACCATCATTTGCAAATATTAATATATCAGTGCTCGGATCAAAAAATTTCACAGAAATATTTTGGTTTTTTTTCGTTCCATTCACCAAATTTGAGTATAAGTAAGTAAACTGTTGTCTGCTTTAATTTGTACCTATATAATTTAATATCAAATTCAAAATATTTTAAAAACATCTACAGACTTCTAGAGGTGATTCAAAGATCCGAAGATGAGTCTAACGAAACATTCATGTCCAGGGTGGAAACAGCCATTTCACAAGAACTCAACATATCTACTTCAAATATTACTAAGAATGATAAAGTATGATAATAAACATGTTGAATTATTAGCATAGAATAACATTATTATGACGTGTTGGAAATAATCAAACTTTAATTTTAGGTTGAATATAAAAAAAAATACTTTTTGGAGTTGGCAGAAAATGCTAGAAAGCAAAACAGACATGTAACCCTGGATAATTTTGAAGAGGATCCTGAAATATTAAGAATGGCTGCACAAGTTACTGATGTTCTTCCATACGTTCCTCAGAATGTTATTGTTGCCAACCTTAGTATGCCAACTAATAAACTTCTATAAATTGTCTTTTAAAAGTTATAACCAGGGCTTCTAAGCTTATGCATTTCCTCATCAATCTAGCCAAGTCATATTACATTTTAGGTAACATATAAATACATTTGCTTCAAGATTAACAAGATTCAATATAAGAAGTGTTATTTTGCATACATTGGATACTTCAAGTTTTTTGCCATCACCATGATTTGTTTTCTTCATTTAAAGATCATTATTTTTATTTAAAATTATTGTTAATTGTTGATGTGAGTAGGTATCCATAATTTAAAAACGGAATTTTTTCGATATCTCAAAATACTACCATACTTTATTACTACATTTTAATATTAAAATAAATTCTTAGATAGCTAAATGGTAAAAATAAGGGTCAAACTGCCAGTTCAATGAAAACAACTATTAACAAACACATGAACAAAAAAAGTACTCATTATTCATACAAGTTGCTTAAATATTAGGACGACATTGACTTTTGTTTAAAAAGTAAAATTTTTTCATAGTTTTTATTTTTCAAGATCATAGTTGTATTCATTTTTTAAGCATATTTTAGTGCATGAACCTACAAGCCCTAGTTATTACGCTATGACTATAATGTATCATTTATGAATTATGAGTCTACAATATCATTGAATGATATTTTTTATTTCATAGGGCGAACAAGATGTGTTGACATAACAATTACAAATATACTTGATGGCACTATTAAGTTTACTCCATTGCCACAGTCTTCCAAAGAACCAAAGACTACGGTAAGCCATGTTGTATTATGAAAATTATAATATAATGTTATTAAATACACCACTGCTTTAAATACTCATACCATAGTCATTTAAAGATATTATATTATGTCTACAACTTTAACAGAAAATTTTTTTTCAAGTACTTTTACGTATTCAGCGATAATATAGGCATATAGCTAGTTGCTTATTGCCAAATTTTGATTATGATTTCGATATATAAAGAATCTATGACCAATTATTCCATTAAACTGATTATATATTAACAATTACTTAGTCAAATTAATTCAGAGTTCAGTCATTACATTTGTTTTTTCATAAATTATAATCATTTTTTAGTATAATAGTATAAAATATTCTTGCTTTACCTAAGTTCTATAAAGTCAGGGTTATCATCAAAACAAAGTGTGTGAATAAAATAAATAAGAAGGATTAGGTATACTAAAATGATTGATTGAAAAATTAACACTTGTGATGATTATAATTAAGTACAGGAAGCTGTCTATTTATGTAGAATTACATCACTGGGCGCTCAGTCAATATTTAGTTAATTGAGCAATTATTATGAATCTTCCTATAGATGAGTACATTATTGTAAGTTGTAATGTCAAGTTTTTCCTGTTTCTTAGTTTTGTATTTAAATTTGAGAAATCAATTTAAGTTACACTATAATATGAATGCGTTGGTCTATATAAATTGTATTTAGTTTAAGATGATATCAACGCAATATTTATTTTCTTTTTCAAATCCACTCTCAACATAGAAAAACCGTATAACAATTTAAAGAGTATTTTTGAGTGTTTGATATATCGGTTTTATTGTTTTGTTATTATTGACTTTATATTCAACATTAAAAATAAGTAATTTTTTTTGAAATTTAAATGAATATTTAATTGGTTTGAGACAATTTAAGTGTGCTGACATTAAAGTACCTACTATTTGTTTTGAAATGAGTTTATACCTATTATTCCTATTATCTGTGAAACTAACATTTATGACCAACATGGTTGGCTTAAAGCACATGAAAATGATGTATCTGCAATGAGAGGCAATTAAGTGAATAATAAGGGGTGGCATTTTAACCTTAGATATTATGGAAAAATTTTAAGACGTACAGGACAGCAAAATACTTAAGCCTGACTAATAATATTGACTCAAAGCTAACATTTGTTTGACAAAAAATAATTGTAACCATTAGCCATCGTGTGAACCCATTTTATATTTGGCTTATAAGTTATAAATCATTTGGGTCACGAGTAAGAGGACAAATTAAGTTTCACTCTTAGTCTTTAGATTATTTATAATTTACCTATGTAGTAGCTTTGCATTGTTATGATTATTGTGGTTTAATTTTATAGTCCAAAAAAACGGAACCCAATAATTTTGGAGTTGGATCATTCATGGAGAGGAAAGCAAAATTGATTGATGAAGCCCGCCAACGGTACATCAAAAAACATGGACTTCATCACTTAGTCCAGTGACTCATACCAGTGTAGGTGATGGCTAAAAGAGGACAACGGCGTACTTCATCATCATTGTGAACATTTCCCAGTTAAATTAATTTGAACGCTCTGGTTACTTTTTTTTTTAAATTTAATTTTTACGGAAATGGAGCAGGTACTTATTGGATTCTATAAAATGCATCTATCCTTTGTACGAATGTTAACGCAACTCTTATTAAATAAATTACTACTATAGACAATATTTATATATTGTATTATTACCTACTAACTTTTTGTTATACTTTTATTTCTTAAGTGAAAACATTATTGTCATTTGATTGTATTCTTAACGTGTGCATACATGTTGCATGTATAAATACTAAATAGAACACATACACAGATCAAGTAGTGTTGTTTTATGATATGTTTGTAAATCGATTTATTATTTTAGGTAATCATTTTTATTTGTTTTTTATATAAATATACATATTATATTTATCTAATAATATTATATTTATGGTTATAAGACTATTAACAACTTGTATTACGTTATTTTTAAATGATATACAATATACACGTTAATTCGAGCTTTACAAATAGCATTTTATTTTATTATATAATATATCTGGGTACATTAGGAGTATTTTGGCGTCAGTAAAAAACTAACATAGTAAGCCTTCAAAAAGGAAAAACAAAATCAAAATCGACAGTGCAGAGGAATAGTGATGCCCGTAAGTGTGTTCGAAAAGGAGTAAACACGAGACAGTATCGAAAACCAATATTACATAATTAATATATTACTACATATAGTTATATATATGTGTATGATATATATATATATACATAGAGTATGTACTATGATACAATTTTTGTTGTTTTTTTTATTGCTTTGAATACAAATGTTTAATAATAATAATAATAATAATATAATAATAAATTTTGATATAGTATTTAATCCCGTATATACATTAACATGAGGTAATTATAATGAAAAACAAACAATAATAATAATATACATTATTATCAGAAGAATATTATGTTACAGAGAGAATCTAGCAAAAACTTCTTAGTTGTAAGCGTCGATAACATTATATTTTACTATTTAGATAAAACAAAAATTATTTTTTAAGGCACCTTATAATAATTAGACAAAGCTAGAATGCACTTACCCGAGATTATTAACAATAACAGAGTAGGTTGTAGTTGTAATAACCAACTAGTTCTTTTAAAATGGGTTCATCAACATTGGTAATAAACCACTTGTAATGAACGGTGTAATAGAAACAAATTGTGAGAATTAATAACATTTATCATGATAACCGAATATTGTTGAAGTTATATCAACTGCATTGATTCTGTTATAGTGTTTTCAAACTTTTCAAAATAATCGGTTCACTCATTAAAATGCTTACCAAAGCTTATTGTATCAAGTTGCTGAGAGTTTTCCGAGAACTGAGATTTGAAATGTGCTACAATGAGTCACTGCATAGCTTTAAAGGTCTAGTGGTATAAAAAAGATTATGTATCAAAATGTACAAACAGTTAAAAATTATCTAGATAAAGAAATTGTATTTCATCGTTGTCATTATGACTTTAAAAAAAAAAAAAATAAGAAAGATAAAAATATATGATTTTTATACAGTCTCTTACTTATTGAGCATACATCTTTTGCGTACAAGTGGCTAACTTTGAATATAATTCATTACATCTGTACGAAAAAAACTTAACTCATTTGGTGTACACTAGACCTTAAACATTCTTTATGAATATAATCGTCAAAATATTCAATACAAGTAACATATTTATACATGAGAAGATATGTTGTCTTTGTATGTCCTAGACATACAGTGGCATTAAATTGTAACGTTAGAACAAACAAAAAAAATGTATTATTCAAATCTTGAATAGTAGATTATTATAAATAAAAAACATTACATACATACAACAGTAGAGTCATTAAGTATTATAGTCTCGGTTGGTACCAAACGATTCGACCAGCTAAACAACCAGATACGAGCAGAGGGTGGACAGGCGAGAATTTGGTACAGAGTACAATGTTAGAGTGAGACACATTTGTACCGATCTCATGAAGTTTTACACCTGGCAGTTTTGGAAGCAAAGTAGACAATTCATCACAGTTGGGTGAAAATGATAACAGTCTTACTCCATGACTGAAGGGTGAGCATATTAGACGTCCATCACTAGAATAACATAGTTCTTTGATATACCCTCTACCCACATTAGCCTCTTCAATAAAATGTGTAAGACGGTTAAAATTTTTGTGAATTTTATGATTAGGGGGCACCTGAAATCTATTCATACAATTTAGAACATAGTTGTTACGACGTTGCCTATTGTTAATAAACACCACTGCGTCTGTGCCAGTTCCTACTTCCACAGTACTACGCCTACTTGGCCGAGTGATATCAATTCTAGAATTTGGGGGTAGATAACCACCACGCATTCTATCAGGTCCGCGATTATTCCGGTTAAATAATACTGTGACTAATCGTTCTGAAGACGCATCATCATCTGCTATCATTTCTTCTATGTCGTCTTGGTCTTGATCTTGTAATCCAGTTGCACTGCGCACAATCCGGACACCAGAATATGTGCCTAATATTCTCTCACGTCCTTCTACAATATCAATTTTAAATATTAATTATGTAATCTATAAAATTAATATTCAAGGTAGAATATTATTAAAATACTTTATTATCTCAGAATATTTATTATCTTAGTACAGTAAAACCTCTTTATAACGGACCCTCTGTTAGACGGAACCCTCCTTATAACGGAAAATGTCAATAGTCCCGGTTCAAATAATATATAAAATTGAACTCTTTAAGACGGAACCTCTACAAAACGGAAACGGAAAATGTTCGTAATCCAATTAGTAAAAATACCCTCTGTTAAACGGAAAATAGAATTATTTAAAGATAAATTACATACACTTACATAAGTATAAACATAGCCATTGGTAATTGGCAAGTCTAAAAAACCACGGTGTTTTAAGAACATGGACATTTCTTCGTTACCTGTCATATGGAAATTTAATAAAAAAGCCTGGATGACAACAGAGATAATGGAGCAGTGGTTGCGTTATTTTAACGCAGATATGCGATCTCAGAATAGAAACGTCCTAATATTCTTAGATAATGCTGCATGTCACCCAAAGATCGAACTATCTAATACGAAAATACTTATGTTGCCCCCAAATACCACATCGATCACCCAACCAATGGATCAAGGAGTGATTTACACGTTCAAGTCTTACTATCGTAAGTTTTTGCTACAATCGTTATTATGCAAGATGGATAATTGTTCTTCAGCTCATCAGCTCGCTAAATAAATAAGTGCTTTGGATGCAGTCAATTGGATAGCGTTGGCTTGCGATAATGTAAAAGCTGAATGTGTACAAAATTGTATAAATTGTATTTACCTAAAATATAATTTTTTTAATACATACGTACACATACATAAATTCTTGAAACATTTTTTTTTTACCTCTCTAAGACGGAAAACTCTTTATAACGGAAAAATTGTTGGTCCCAAGCGATTCCGTTATAGAGAGGTTTTACTGTATATATGATTTTATTATAATAATTATTCTGTATGATTTATCAATATATAAATTTGAGAAAAACAGTAAAATTGAAAGAATAATAAGCAATCTTCTACTTCTCTAAACATTAAACATTTATCCGTGTTCATCTAATTTGTTCAATTTAAAATGCAAGGAAAAAATACACTGTATTATAATTGTATAAAAATAGAAAGTAAATCAACTTAAGTTAGTAATTGTGAAGGGTGGATAGTAATTGAAAAATATGAAAAGTATAAATTATTATAAAATCAATAACATTCTGAAATAAGATATGGTTTTACAAAACTAGTCTAGTCTGTTCAGGTTAAAAATTAACCACTCTCGCACATGCATGTTAGTATTGTCGAACTCACCTGCTGTAGGAGCTATTTATGAGTGGGGATGCACAGACATAAACAGTATATGGTTTACTTTTAACCTGAATATATTATGTAAATGGTAAGTACTGGTTTGATATTGCATGACCAAAATTAGAACTAGAGATGAGAGTAATTTATCAAACAATATACATATACAGATATAAATATGAGATTTTAACTGGTAAAACCTCCACTATGGGGAAAATGCATAGGCTTGTCCAGCAATGATTAGGTTAACTTTATATCTAAATACACTGCTAGAAGGTTATTGGACGTTTAGATAAAGGAAGAAGTATCTTACATCATAAAAAAGTTGTTTTCAAAAATCTCTGTAGATTAAATATAAAAAAAAAAGAATTTTTTGAATAAAAATTCAAACATAAAACATAAACATGTTATCAATTTACAGATGTAAAAAAAATCTAGTCCATTTATTACAATTTAATCATAAATATTTTTTTTCATAATTTATTAAAATTAATTGTTTTATTTTCTTGAATTCAAACAATATTATTATCATAATAAGATAAATAAATTTCTTATTATTTGGGGTTGAATATTTCTTTTCTCCATATTCAGTGCATATTTTGAATTCTGAGCAAGGAATGTATTGATTTTACAATGATATTTTTATTTTTGTGTCTGTCATTGCCTTTTTGACTAGCAAAAATATTTAATCGTTTTTTTTTTTAAATAACAAAGTATATTTAATTCCAACTTCCAAGGGAGGTTTAAAGTAAAAAATTTGCAGTACTTTTCTTAATAATTTGAAAAAAAATAATGGGGGAAAGTAGGTAATTGCTTTGAAGTTTAGTGTATTTCATTATTGAGTAAGTCACTGTAATTAATTATATTAGGATAAATCATTGAATTCCAACAACTGATTTGAAGTTAAGACAGTCTGTAAGTCTATATTGTAGATTTTTAGTGTTTATCACTCATCAATCAATGATAGGTAATAATATGTATTGTAAAATGAACTAACTTAAGTGCATTAGGCAATACAAACCAGTACTTATATGTAAATATGTATGATTTTAAATTTTAATAATAGATTATACATGCCTGATAAGTATCTTAAACTTCTTATGCGATTACCACTATTGACATTCATCATTGCTTCCCATAAGTCAGCTTGACGGTTGCCTCTAGTTGGGCCTAACACAGAAAATGGTATCATACTACTTATGCCAACACTTATGTCTCGAGGAATCACAACATGTGTACGTCTGTGAAGTCTTCCTTCCCTAAAGAGAAAAAAAAAATTGTATATCACTTTCAAATTGTATGTTTAATAGTTTATTACATTGGGTCATCAGCTAAGGAATGTTCCAATGAGTTTGCTTCTTCAGAACTCATTTCTTCTGGTTCATCTTGTTGTTTAGGAACGGCAAAGTCTTGTATATCGTGTACACATGTCCATTCAGACTGTTCATCTGTGGTAACATTTCGACTTAATACATTCCAACCTTGTGGATGTACCTATTAAAATGTTTATTGTTTAAATTACTTGGATTTATAAAAAAATTAATTATTTAAGTATTACCTGGATAGAAGATATTATTTCGGCATCATCATTTCTAGGAAAATCTACAATGAATTCAACACGGTTTCGTTTACGAGTAAACATGTGAGTGTGAGCAGCTGCATTAGGAATGGTAGTCTTACTCAACTGCATCAAACGGTACATATTTGGCTAGAAATAATATTTTAAGGTGTTTAACAATTTTATTTATTAATTATTATTCAAAACTTAATAATAAGATATGTTTATTATTTTAATATTAACCAAAGATATTCAGAATATAAGTCTTAAAAACCTAAAATATGTGGTATAATAAATAAGTTCCACCGAATGATGCGTTTAGTAAATGAGAACCTCTCAAGTCTTTAAGTCTTAGTCTTTGTCTAATATCATATTTATTATAATGTTTGTCTGTTATCTTATTCCGTTTAACTGTACTTTGGGCTAGTCCCGTAATGTAAAATAAAATAAAATAAAATAAGTTATATTCTGTATACTGACTAAATGTGAAATAAAATGTATGTAGATTAATATGTTGTTAATAATAAATGAAAAAAAATTAATTAAAGTGATATACCTAATAATCAAACACATAGTTTTATATTAATTCTCCCTCAAATTATTTTAATAGGAAATGGTTTTTGTACAAACAAATACATAAATCACAATGCCTTATATGGTAATTTATAATATTAGAAGATAATTTTTTTCTAATCAAAGCAATTATTAATGTCACTTTTGTTGCTATACATTTAAGTAGGTAATAGAAATTTGTTTGATAAGTTTCTAGCCCATAATTACAACAAAGTTATTATTATTTTGCTAAAATTTAAATTGCACGATTATGCCAAATAAACTAACTTATAAATATAAGATATTTTAAATATAAAAATTACTTTGAATCCTTGAATATCTGTACCAAGTGTCTCCAAGTCTAAATTGTTTATAAGTAAAATAAAGCCACTTGTTGTGCAGACAATTAACTTGCTAGAGTCAGGTAGAAGTTTAATACGCATCAGTCCGTTAATGTGACATACAGAATTATTAGGAACTCTTCCTTCTTCTGAATAACTATATCAAAAACAAACAATAATTTTGGTAAACAGAATTTATGTTTATTTTTATATAGCTGATTATATATACCTATTAATGTCCCATGTGTAAATTTGCCCATCAAATCCACTGGAAACAAGTAAATTGTCCTTTGCTGAATATTCAATACTTTTTACCCAATTGCAATGTCCTCTCAATACTCTTATGTTGTCTTTAAGATTTCGAACATCCCATAATGCTATTGTTGTGTCATCACTACAAGTTGCAAACATACGAGAGTCCAAAAACCTAGAATAAATCATTTTTATGAATATTATTAAGGAAAATAATTTAAGAACTCTATATTAAACTATTAAACAATTCTTTTAAGACTAAAAATTGTAATAGTTGTAACTTTTTATATTTTTCTGTAAAATAATTGTTAAAGCATTACACTCAAATCAATAAACTATTTTTTTTGATCCTAAATATTTGTGAGAAGAAAAAAACGAATTGATGTTATAAACGCAAAAAAATTATAAAAGTGAACATACATATATTTATAAATAAAAGAATAATAATTGTTAGTGATGATGTAAATTTCTAATTGTACATCATGTCCTAAAACAAAATATATATTAATACCTACCTAATTGTCAAAAGCTATACGATATAGTACACGATCTAGGTTTGTTCCCCTCTAGTCACAATGATATAATATAATAGGGTACTTTTTTTCTCTTTAATTAAAGTTTTATTTATAAAAAGTACATTTAAGATACACAATTTATTAGATACTTACTTTATACAATTAACACAATCATTATGTGCTTTTTTTATTGATGTTATATACTTTTGAGTTACAGGATCGAATAACATAATGCTCTTCTTTTCACATGCTGCTGCCAGTATTTTCCTAAAAACACGGTGAATTATCATTAAATAATTTATTCCTAATATTTATAGGGCATTATACATTATTATTTTTTTTTGTTGTTTATGGTTTCTATAAATGAATTGAATTAAAATTAAATTTGTTTTAACTGTATTAGGTATTTTTCAAAATATTGCAATAGCTAAAAATGATTTAATCAAAGGTGAAGGTTATAATTGGTACTAGGCATTTGATGATATATATATATAAATATATAGGTACCTCTACTATATATAATTGACCATGATCAGAAAGGTTACTTTTTTTTTTTAGAATATTTGAATCTCAATAGAGTAGCATGTATACAACAAAATAATACATTTATTAATTCTAAATTTGAAAATTAAAAAAATGTTTCATATGCACTTCCTACACAAATGTTATGAAATAATACAAAAAAGCATCATTGTATACAGTATTTATACAAGCTTGTATAAAGTATTTTCCAACTAATTTAAAGATAAGATGTTTTTTGCATTTTGTAAAATATGTCTTAACAAAGTTTCATCAATGGGTAGTTTCTTCAATCAAGACTCCTGACTATTAAATACCTATAATCCTTCACTTGTGCTTATTTTCAAATTGTAAATGTATTATGTACAATGTTTTGTTATGCATAATATAATATGTCTAAAATAATCAAATCGGTCAATTAAAACAGAAATGACACTATAGGTAATATAATTGCCTTGATGCAACACATTGTGATACATACACTTATGTAGGTACAACCAACTATAAAAAATGACAATTTCAAGGTACCTAAAAAGTGGATAATAGTGCTTACCCATCTGGGGAGAATTCCAAATTGAATATACCAGCCGGATTAGTAATGTCATTGTTCGAAACGTCGTATTCCCATTTGGCGATGGGGTATATAGACGTGTACATTTCGCAGTGTAAACGACTTTGATCGCCATACTTGGGTCGGAACCCGTACTCGCGATTACGCAAATATGTGTCGCGGAAGTTGGTGCAACGTCTGCGTTTGACGCTCTGTAAACCGTCCGGATCGTAATATGTCGTACTCATGACGATTATGACAACAACGAAGAAGACAGGACTGTTAGTGTCTACGATCTACGAACATAAAACCGAGCGATGTGCACTTGGGCAGGCGGACCGCCGCCGCGAAATCGCAACCTCTTAAAAGTTGTCGACGACAAAAGTCGGACGACCGTTTCGAGTGACCGAAGACGGTGTGGTTCGTGACTGCGTGACCAAGGGGAATAAAAAAAAAAAAAAAACGATATTTTCGCAAAATGGTCGCGGTTAGGGGTTCGGCGACTGGACGTTATTTCATGTTGAGTGTACCAGCAGTATCGACTTTGCGCAATAGAAATCGAGAGTTGTAGTAGTTGAGTAGTGACTAGTGGCTATCAGCGAAAAAATAATAACTAACTTCTCGTTATCAACGATACCGTGTCGTTATCAGTTTATCAAAATCGTGATCCGTGATATTATAATTCCGATGATGCGTGTCGCCCGTTCATACTCCATGGCGTCTCGAAAACCGAAAAGCTATCCCAAACGTGTGCAACCGCGGCGGTGTTATAATTCCCGGCAATAATGTAATGAATTATTTACGAACAACCGTGCGGTTTACTACGATCAACTCGGTCACAGAATCGCCACAAATTTATACAAACGACGACGACGACAACAACAACAACAACCACGGCGAATATTAATATCACGCGATACACTCGTCGACGTTAAGCACGTTCGTCCGTGTGTCGATTCGACGCTGTCACGCGCTGACTGGGCTGCTGGAGGTGGCCGTCGACGGTACCCACGAAATCGCGCGCCGCACCGGTCGCGAGCGTAAGAGAGTGTTTCGTTTGTTTTTCGACAACAGCTGCTGCGACGGTGAATATAATACGCTTACGCAACTACACACGACGACTACGGCACGAGCCACGAGCTCGACGGACGCGATAGTTTTTCGTGCGTCCGGCGCTATGTCGCAACTCAGTAGCATAAATATTAAATATTATGTCAGTGGTATCACAGCGATCGTAACGAGTAACGACGGCCGTGATGAAGTCGTCGGACGTATTTTTGGACGGTCGCGACACGACGCCCGAACGCTCTGCCGTGGTCGTGCCGTTTGAAAATTTCTAAAATCAAAACCCGTCGGGGTATCGACGACGCCGATATATTGTTCGATATTTTTCGGCCCGAACGAGTAGGAGCGACGACCACTTGTTTTGTCATAGATCGTCGAAAATGATAATATTACGTTATTGCTGTGCGTGCGGCGCGGTGAGGAGAGCGAAAAAACAACGCTAAATTGGAAAGTGTTCCTCGCGTTTTCACCGACGCCGCGGAGCTCGCCGGGGATTTTTTATCATTATATTCAGTTATTATAGGTACTATTCATACGCGCCGTTGCACTCTGTTAGGTACGACTGCGATGTACCTACACGGAATTATTATATTGATAATATTGTATTTTTAATTATTTTCATTATCGACGTAATACCTACCGATAATTCGTCAGTCGTCACAATTACTGGGTGCTAAACTTCAACTGTCGACTATAATAATTATTGTCCGCAGGACTCGAGGGGCTAATGGAAATCAGTACAAATTCTTAGCAACTTATCTACAGGTGATCACGGAAATCTTGTGGTAATCACGATAATCATTGGGAAATCATTGTATTTCTGGAATCGAGTGTGCACAATTTGGGGCAGTAATAATCGGGCGCAACTAGGCCACCAGGGAAATTTTTCTGGCGGAAGCGGGGCTAGAGCTGTATCAGCAGTACAGACCCCGTTACTTAACATTTTAAACTAAAATATGATTAAAAAACTGATGGGCTATGCCCTGTGTCCCTCCCTCCAAAAAAGCTCCCTTAATTGAGTCTTTACAGCGATTTATTTCTAGACAGGATTGCATGAAGGGGGGGGGGCGATCTTTTCAACAACAGTAATGTTATTATAAACGATGTTGCACAACGCGTTATAAATACAAAAATAATTATGATCTCGAGCTGTGAGCTGACTTCCAATGTCGACTTCGCCGTATTTATACATCCGACATCGTATAGGTACAGTTTTGGCGCGGTAGTCTTTACCTGTAAGCAGTAAGCTGTACGCTCCTCCTATATAATTTAATAAAATATAACATTTTCTATCTTTATCTGCTTACATGCATGCTACCCCGTTACAATTGCTGTTGCTTAATATTTGGTTTTTAGACTTATCTACACGTTATTGACAATTGTTTACCTGTCTTCAAACTTTTTCGGTATGACTGATATAGAACTGAGTGAATACCACGGTTTAAATAATAATTGCCGATGGACATAAAAAATAGGTGCGACTTTGGAACTTTGAGAAAAATATAATCTCGAATATAATATTGTAGACTGATGATAATAAAAAAGAATTCTAGAGTTCCTAAGACGTAATTATGTTAATGACTAAACCTCTGTCCATGCCAATAGGTGTTAAAATTTAAATTATAAATTTTCCTTTATAATATGTATTGTAGCTATAATACTCCTCCGGTTTCCTCTTTAATTATGTCTTAATCCTCAGGAGCGATTAAATAGAGCAGTAATAACGAATAAATAGGATCAGTATCATGTAATCATCATGAAGATTTGATATTGTAGGTACATTCTGAATAATCCGTTTAACTCCGTTATGTTACACTGTTATTACAGTTCATTGATCTATCATCAGATATAATATTATCTAGACATCTAGTGTATCTCATAGGTTTTTTTTTGTATTTTGATTTTATAGCGAGTTATGAGTTATGACAGGGGAAAACGGAGGCAACGTATCTTAATATTAGTTATTTAGGTCCATGATAAAATATTATTATAGCAATACAATTTTAAATACTTCTTACGTTGCTGCTGCATACCTAGTTCGTAGTATAATCAATGGGTGATTATTTTACTATCTATCTTAACTCATCTCTTATCGTTTCTTATTTGGTATTTGTAATTTAATTTACTGTGGATGGGTGAAATGGGTTCCATGGAGTGTCAAACCCTACACTCCTTATGGCCCTATAGAAACAAGCCTGAATAATATGCATAATGTATCTATTGATGCGTAAATGTTTATTTATCCATATTTCTAATTATTTTCAATATATATTTATTCATGAACTAATTATTTTCAATATATATTTATCCATGAAAGATATTTTACAACACTTCACATCCTTCCCTGATCCCTATTATAGTTACTAAAATATAACCTATAATAACAATGACTTAAAAACATAAATATAGCAAGAAGAAATAAATATTCATTTATTATCAAGTAGTTTATGTGTAATAACGAGATAATAAGAAGGAAGAATGTATTTACAATGTATTTACATTACATCCAATACAGCGCCTAAAGTAAATTAATTGATCGTAATAAAATAATAATTAATGTGTAATCGATTAAATTATATTTTGTAAGCCCAATGGCCCATGCAGGATCTTGTTTCAATATAAAAAATGATTATTACATTATTAAGCAAAATATGTCTCTTCTTCAGAATTTTCCTTTTGTTTTCTTTGTTTTTTACAATTCTATTTCTTTCTCTTTTTCAAGATCTTCATACAAACTTTTATTTTTTCTACTCCTTCTGGGACATGTCGTCATCGTGGAATTTAAATATAACTTCTATAGGTATATCAGCATTCAGCTTCCATTTCGGCTTCAATAATTCTGTAACAATAGTACCTACCGTTTATATCTTCAAGAACATCAGAAAAAGGTGACATTTATCACCAGAATCATTTGTAAAATTACAGTAAAATTTTCGGTCACATTAGGATCATCTCCTGTAAAATAGTTCTGGAACTCGAATATACCTAACATTTTCTTCTGTAACAGGTACCTATACCTAGTATTGGTTTGTACTGTTCAATTTCTAAATGTACTGTTATGCATTGGTCCTGTTTATTTATTGTAATAACGTTTAAGCTATTATTATCTTTCAAAATGCTATTAGAATTATTTTTATCGAGACTATTTTATGGGGTTCAACATTTTCTGCGTTTCAATGGACAAATCGCTGAGGCGAGCTGGTTTTTCCTTATGAGCCATTGATGTATATTTTGCCGGTCGAATAATTTTTTTGTATACCCATATGGCATTGGCATGGCTATATCCACTAAACGGATGCAATTAGTAGGTGAATCTCTTACCAAAGAACACATATTATTTCAAAAACTATTAACGGTTTGAACTTAAGATTGTGTATTTTTTTTTGTAAAACTTAAAGTTGTTTGCAAAAAAAAATTTTTGAAAAAATAATTACTCGTAAATATATTTTTTACAATACCTACCTACATAATTTCAGATTTTTCTGCTAGCCTGAAATATTAATTTTGTGCATTGAAATATTTTAATTACTTTTATAGAGAACTCTTAGTAATACAATATGTTGAATTAATTTTTGCTAAAAATATTGCATTCGAAAATATCATTGCGTGTATACAATATAATAATATGCGATCAAAGTTTCAAGTACCTACGAGTAATATTTTAAATTACAATAAAATAACTAAAATCGTTATTTTTTGTTATTTCATACAGATTTGAACTTCAAATATAGATCTAGATTATTTATAAAAAAACTGTGTTTATATAATTTTTAGATTTATTGACTACAGTATGAACTACTTATGAGAAATTTAAAAAAACTTGTTTAAATGTTCAATTTTTAATTGAGAAAATTAAAGATCTAATATATTTTTAACTGAAAAATAATTTATACATTTTATTGATTTTAACGAATTTTGTCAACATTAGAATTTCAAAAGCTTATAACAAAATCACGCCTGTGTATCTTTATTATCTTTAATTTTCTATAATAACAACTTATGTGGCACGTTTGGTTCAATTTTCAAGCCTTCTAACTCGGCCTTTTGAACAATTGAACTATAATTTATAATACATGCACATGTTATAGTAAAATATAAATACCGTAATGGTGGTGCCTAATGCCTATCATTACAACACCAAAGTGTCGAAGTGGACATTCCTATGGCATGGCAAGTATACACAATACACAAATATTTGGCAAGTACACCAGTCATGTGGATCTGGCATTAGACATGTCAAATGGCAGGCTTAGAGATCAGATAAACAATATTACAATTTACAATGACTATACACTGATTTAAGTTTAGTAAGTAGAGTAACAGTGTTTATACAAACAAGGACATGTTAAATACAGTTAAATCTTTAAACATAAAATAGGTACTACTGGTCAAATACAATTACATTATTATTTTCTTCAAGAAAAATAAGTCAAATATCACTTTATTGTTAAACACGATATTCTCTACAATTTAATTCAATAACAGCATTGAGATTAATAGTGTCTATACTTACTAACACAATGGACATTTCCGTGTCCGAAGACTACGAACGTAAAACGTAATAATTAATAAATCATAACCACGAACTAAGTTATAGTCCTCATAGATAATTTAAAGCTACATATAAACCTACTAAACCTACTATATATTATGCTAATTAGTAACTACAATAATAATGATTATTATTCTAATTAAATCGGTGACACAGAAGTGTTTAAAATTTACTATGACATGGACATCAAGCTACCCCCAACATCCTATCCCCCCTTTTTTAAATTTTATAATTAGCTACAAATCAAAGCACCCACACAATGCAATGCAAAATCATTTAGTTTTAGTTTTTATCTGTATGCTAATTTTTCTGCATTTTTGCAGCATTTATGATCCTAAACGGAGCGATAAAGAATGTTTTATAGAATTATACAAAATAAATTGATCTTATGCAATATGGCTTGTTTATTTTATTTGTGTTCAAGAAAAATAGTAGAAAGATGCTTCGAACTTAGAAAGTTGGTTTTAGATAGCGGATACAAATC